GAACTAACCTGGAAAAACAAATATGAAAGTCAATTAAAATATAAAACAGGAGATAAAGTTCTCCTTTTTAAATTTAATTGGTGCATTTTAAGTGTATTTATTTAGTGGTTCATATAATTCTGCTTTTATTTCTAATTATGTCAGTTTTGGTCCTCCGTACTGCAGAAGCCTGATAATCATCTATTCATAGGTGTGTTGGAGCAGAGAAACAAGTAAAACATGCAGAGCTGCGGACCTCCAGGACCAGGACTGACCATGCCTGCTCTACACCAAAGACCTCACTTTGATAGTAACTATTTTGCAAGTGGTCCTCACTCTGTAGCAGAAAGAAGTACACACACACATACACAGCGGCAGATCAGACCTGATCTTATTGATGATGTCGATACCAGACTGCTCCATGAACGTGGTGGTGACAAAGCTGTGGGGAACCGTCATCCTCCCCGCCCCGGCCTTCAGCAGCTCCTGGCGAAGGCCGCTCCTCTTCATCACGTGAGGACACAGTCCCTCGGCAGCATCCACCATGGACACCATCATCATCTAGAGAGGCGTTAGCGCAGTCTGAACCTCACATCGAAATGGTTTGATTGGACGTTTTATAAAGAAAYACACCTGCAGCTGCTCGTCCATCACTTCTGCCACCTCCTCAGCCATGGACCTCAGTTTATCCTGAATGGCACAGACACACGCACCTTTGGAGCCGCCGCTCTTCAGGTGGTACAGGTTGGGGAGCAGCTGGAATAAAACCCGACGTCCAGAGTTAGGCCGAGCAAAACCCGCGCAAACACACTCAACGCAATTTTTATTTAGTCACGGTTTTCTTACCGTTTTGGAGTTTCTGGCGTCCTTCATGAGATTCTCTGCCACCTTCATGTCCTCCTGAATGGAGCTRGTTTCTGAGAACCTCAGAGAGTTCAGGTGGTCCTGCACCCTGACACACATCCTGTCCATCATCTGCATTAAAAATATTTTTTTTCTTATGAAGCACCAGGAATTATACTGAATTTAAAACTATTAGACAACAGTTTGGTGACCTGCTGAGTGGTGGTRGTGACTATCCCCTGCTGCAGCCTGTACGCCTGCTCCTGCAGGTATCTGCGCGTCTCATGGTTCCTCAGCAGGTACTGCTCCATCTGTAAGGTATTACAAAGAAAAATAAATAAAACACATGCTTTTAGATTTTACAATTGAAAATATGATGTGATATTAAAAAAGGTGGCAACTTAGAGAAACTGTAACTTAAAAAAATAAAATAAACCTTTAGTAAAGCATCTTCTGTTTTCTCTGGGTTTGTCTTCAGAGCCTGAGCAGCATCCATGATGGGAACAGGCATGAAGCGAATGGTGTAGTTCCTGAGAGATACAAGCAAAACGTTGAAGGTTGCAGAAAAAGCAAGTTTTAAAAAAATGCTGATTTCAAACTTACTTTTCTAAAGCAGCAGCTACATCCTGTAAACCCTGAGGGCTGATGTTGTTCCTGTCCCACACTATTGTTCTAAAAACAATAAAGATCTTTTGATAAAGAAATACGGTGAATTATTGGTCATTATTTTTTTGCAAATCTTAGAGTAAAATAAAACCTGAGCTTCGTGTTGATCTGCAGGGCTTTGGCTAACATCTTGGCCCCCATGTCTCCCATAGAGTTTCCACTGATGTCCAGTTTGGTCAGAGAGGAGTTGCTGCCGAGAGCGTTGAGAACGATGGAGAGGTCTCCCTTCAGCTTGGAGTCAGCCAGGGAGAGYGAGGTCAACGGCTGCAAAAAGGGAAGATGAGGTTCAACATGTGTTCTTTCTGAGGGATTTTAAAGACAAGCTTATAAAATATGGAGAACAGAATCTGACGTAATTAAAAATAAAAGCATTAAAAGGATTCCAAAATCAAAGCTACCCGTTTCATGCTGAGATTGAGAATACTAACTGGAATGCGGGTATTTCTCTGTCAAATCC